AAAAAATAAAGCATGATGCTATGAAAAAAAAAGAGAAGTTCAAGAAAAAAAAATGTGGAAAAAATAAGTGAAGTTCAATAGAAAATTCAAAAGAAAAGGAAAAAAAGTGTTCAATTGTTCTAGTTGGAGGTTGATTCAAAAGAAAAAAAATATAAGTACTTCAATGAAAAATTCAAGTTTGGAAATAAAGTTTGTTTATTCACTCCACTTCTTCATTATTATATTTTTATGAGTGAAATTGTAGGTGTTGGGATTGTTTATTATGATTGGAGTATGTTTGGTGGATTTTTGTTAGAGTTGGTTATGTAGGAGATGTTGATCATTATTTATTTTGATCATGGGTTTTATTAGGATTTTCTCCCTTAAGCATAGCTTTTCTCTCACTTGTTCCCAAATGATTCCTACCCTTTTCCCTAGCCTTACATTACAAGCTTTAAAGACCTTCCGACCTTTGTGCATAGAATTGTATGAATGTAAAAGTGTTGTTTATTAATGCAGGTTATGATTTGACATATTTCGAGTCGACTAGTAGGATTGAGCATTCATTGTTTTATACACGCAAGAGTGTGAGTTGGGAGGGCATTGTTCACATAAAGGGGTTGAATGGAGAGCGATCGGGTACATCTTTATACACGCAAGAGAAGGCTAGTTTAGAAAAGAGAGAGAGAGTATCAAGAATTTCTTGATGAGATTTGGTGATTGAAAACGAAGGTTTAAGAGGCTATATATAAAGAAAATCAGCCAGATATGATAAAAAAGAATTAGAGTTTTGAAAAGAACAAAACACGACGTTGTCGCCAAACGACAAGGTTGTCGCCAGGCGACATACGTGTCGCCGCGACGCCAGGCGACAGTCTTGTAGTGCGGCGCTGCAATCAGTTTTTCCACGCGTTTTCTTATTTTGATAAAATTTAAGCGTACGAGGGGGTAAAACTGTAATTTCCTTAAAAACACATCTTTTATTCTAAGTAAAACTCTTAAAACTCATTTTATCAATGTTAATCAAATTAGGATTCAAAAGAACCTTCTAGAAGATTCTAGAAGACTATAATCAATCCTAATTGAAATAGGAATAATAAATCATAATAGGCCCTCCCCTAGATCATTGGGCCGCATATAAAAATCAAACCTGGCCCAGTTTAGTAATTTGGCCATAACTTCCTCACTATTCATCGGAATTGGGCTTATAATATATCGTTGGAAAGCTCTTTTCGAACCCAATCCAACTACACTATTATTAAACCCTTTCCATGGGCAAAAATAAACTGGATTGGCAATCCATAAAATAGATTTTCAAAAACAGAGAGAAAGAAAAGAATTAAAAATTAATCGTAACACTAGACTTTCCACATTTTCACTTCATTCGATTGTGATTCGACGTGAAAGGTACTCAACAGTGGGTTTGGTTTTGGGGAGACACAAATGGGTGTCTACAGAAGCCTCCACTTTGACTGAGTTTGGAGAAACGCAAGTTTCGAAAACAAAAGTCAAAGTATCAATAGGGACGGAGAATGATTCAGATCGTTCTGCGACCCTAAATCATTCTTGTAACGCCGATACCTGCAAACTAGCATTAGTTTAAAACAGATAAGAGAGTTAAGAAACGCGTATCTTTCACCGTCGAGCACACGTCTCTGGAGGTTACTGATTTGTGTTGCATTTGCCGGTGCGACAACCTTCCACAAGCTAGGGAACGCCATCCTGCTGTTGTTTTGACGATCTTCCTCAAGCTAGAGGATACCGCCTGAAGACTGCTACGCATGTAACTACCTCCAATTCCGCCGTGATAGACTTCTGCAAGCTAGAGAACCCTATCGAAGATTACTTCGCCTGAAACGACCTTCTAGCGCTTTGTGACCATCTTCCACAAGCTAGGGAACATGATCGAAGATTGCTTCGCCTGAAGCTATCCTCATTTGTTGCGATAATACTCTGATGAGTATCACCTAAGACCAAAAGCCTGTCGATCCTTTAAAGTTCGCTTGAACTTTGCTTTTGCTATGCCAGTGCGTCGGCGCTTTTGCTGCTTGTGAACCAGTATGTCGGTGCTTCTGAATTGTGAACCAGTATGTTTGTACCTTTGTAGTGAGCCAATGTTTAGGCGTTTTAAGTTAAGTAAGACGATCATTTATCAAGCTGATCACTTAATGCGATTGTAACCGAGCCGATTACTAAATCATGTCAAATTGCTTATAAAGGCTAACTGGCTTACCAAGGAACCCAAAATTGTTGTACGAGGTCAAAATAACCACTTTGAGAGGCTTCGAGCTCTGTCGCCGCTGCAACATCTCTGGCGCCGGGATTTCGCTCTGTCGCCAGACGCTGCACTCTGTTTCCCGGCAATAGAGCTGTCGTTCGACTCTGCATTCGGGATTTTTGTATAAATCCCCTTTCTTCCCCGTGTTGCTGCTACTGTTTCATTTCTTCGAGTTCCGCCGCGAAAAACTTCGAATTGCTTGTTCTTGCTCGTTTCTCAACCAAATTCGCTTAAATTTGTTGCAAATCAAAGCTTTGTTCATCTAGTTTCCTGGTCTATGTAAGTTTTTTCCAAACTCACTCGAATTTTGATGAATATTGCACATGTTTGTTCACGAATTTCTTGAAAATTCGAAACTTATATTGCTCAATTTGCTTTGTTTGTCAAATTTTATGCCATGAAATTGCTTGATTATGTTTATATATTGCCTTGGGAGTATTTTGAAACTTGTTTGACTCAACCTAACATTTGAATTTAGAATTGGCCCAATTCCAACCCAATTAAAACATTAGTCCATATATCATCATTTGAAATCCAATCCAAAACCCCATCATTTGAAAACCAAGAATGCTCTCTCTCTCTTCTTCATACTCTCTGCTGCTCTCTCATACAAGATTCTCTTTCCTCAATCTCTCTCATGCAAGCTTTCTTTCTCCTCAAGTTCTCTCATGCAAGCTTTCTCTCTCCTCAAGTTTTTTCTCTCTCCTCCTCTACTGTTAAATTATATTTCTAAGGTTAGTTTCTTATTTCTTAATTTTTTTTTACCATGAATTTGCTAAGTTATTGTTGAATTTTGATTTCATATAATTGATTGAATTTTCGATTTTATGTAATTGATTAAATTTTTTGGAATTGATTTTGTCTTCTAATCTACAATATGTGTAATCGATTAAATTTTCGATTTGATGTAATTGATTAAATTTTTTAATTTATGTACATAATTGAAATTTTTGGAATTGAATTTATCTTTTGATCTAAAATATGTGTAATTGATTGAATTTTCGATTTGATGCATAGCATGCTCTTTCGTGTGTTACATTGATTAATTAGGGATTATTTTTTTGTTTTGGTCATTTCTTTTGAAATAAACTGTTTTGTTGATATTAGGATTATGATTGTAGCTATTTATATAGTAATTTGAGTATAAAAGGGAAGTAATTTAACTTGCAGGAAGTTCCCCAAGCCTCTGCATATTAGAGCAAGTGCATTGAGAAGACGACATATGCACTCTGTTTGCTTTCGATAGAACGACAGGTGATGGAGCAACACGATGAATACGCTGCTGCGATGGACCTTACTAGTTAGATTTTGCTAGGTTATATTTTTGTTGAATTTTATATTGTAGATACTTAATTAAAATACTTAATTTTACCTTAGTTTGAAATCCATTATTGAAATTATTTATTTCCCCAAACAAGTTTTTAGAGTTTGAAATTCCAAATTTGAAATTCTTAAGTTTGCCAAACATGAAACTTGGAATTGAATTCTAGAAATTGAAATTATGGAATTGAAATCAACAATTTCAAATGAATATGAGTATCCAAACGCAACCTTAAATAATTTCATTAAGGAAACATTACAATTCACATATACATTGATAGTTACAAAATATTTTAAAACGCATTATTCCTCATACATTCACCGATATTGACTCTTTGACTATAACCCTTACAAATCAATTGACCAAACATATGCCTATACATAGCAATGTATCTCAAATAACGAATAACAATTGAACAAATCAATTGAACAATTACAAATCAATTGACTCTTTAACTATAACCCTTACAAATCAATTGAACAATGTATCTCAACTCACGAATAACAATTTCAGCATCAATATCCTTCTCATTAATCACTCAAAATCCCTCAATAAAATTGCACCTTCAACTCAAACCATAGGAATGCAATAAAAGATTTCATTCACCCACTCACAAAAAATAATATTTTAACATTTGCAACTAAAAACAAACATGTTTCTATTCAACTCAACTTTACAATACCGAAATAAAGCTTAAGGGTCTGTTCTCATTGACTGAACTCAGCTAAACTGAACTGAATTGAGGTGAACTGAGCTGAGCTGAACTGAACTGAAATGAATATTTTATAAGAGAAGGAAATTAGGAGCTGAGCTGAACTGAGCTGATCTGAATTGAACTGAATTGAATTTCAACGTAAGAGAACAAACCCTAAATCAAGAAGTACGATACGATATTTTCTATATTGAACTATCGCGCGCGCCTGCGCGCGATAGGGCAACTAGTTCCAAGAAATATACAATGAGGTAATGACTGATAAGCAATCAACAAAGTCAAGAAGCAAACGCAATAAACCAGGAAAGACTTGTTGTAAATTCTACTTTGTATGTCACTTCGTACTATTATTTAGTAAAAGGCCATAGACTGATATGAGTATAATCTGCCCCATAGAATTGGATAAACAGCAACACATAAAAACAAATTTAAAAAGTTCAATATCTGATGTGGAGCTCATATCTGATGTAATAACAAAATCCTTAGTACTCGGAGTAAGATATTAAATAAATTAATTAATTATGAACTCAGAAAATTTACACTTAGGTTTCAGAAAGATACAACGATCCACAAAATTCATAAGAAGTATTATAAAACAATGGAAAAAAGCAATAAAAAGAAGGAAAGGGGGAATTTAAGAAAACCTTTGAATTGCGAAGGTGCTTGGTTTTGAGAGAGAAGCACAGGGAGAGCCGGAGAGCCATGGGAAGGAAGATGAGAAAAGATTTATCTTTATTGTGCCTCTATCTACACATCTTTCTATAGAAAGAGGCTTGAATACCGTAAATAATGGCCTTTGTCAGACATTAAGCATTTTCTTCTGGTGGTCATCAGTGTATCAAAAACCAATTAAACATCAAATAAATATATGACTATTGACATGCTTTTTTTTCTTTTTCTTTTTTTTTGAAAGAGTATTGACACACTTTGTATAATATAAACCGTAAATAATGGCCCCGTGAGTCTTTAGCACTCTCATACTAGAGAGGAAGCATTGCAAGCCATTTCAAGAACATGTTGAAGCATTCAAAAGGCTTATACTCAGGAGCGGTATGTCCTGCTCCCTGCAAGTAAACAATGTATACATAATTATGATACTCTATCAAATTATGTTTTTAAAATGAGAGTCACCTTTGTACCTTCACGGTAGCATATGTTACATGATATTTATCATTTGAGAACTTTGTAGTATACCTGCACGTTCAATTCCAAAATTGAAAGGCTGAGAAAGTTTTCTTACATAGACCAGGGAAAAAAAAATAAAGGAAACTGACGCAGTATTTGGTTGATTTCATGTAGTTAATTAGTTGCTTACCCGGCAACTTGACCATGGACAAACCATGGCCTCCAATCATCAGAAATTGAGACATTTAACATGTTTATCCATTCCAATGTTCCAACAAATGATATAATCATGTCTTGGTCACCACTGTCATTAAATATATAATGCAGTCAAGACATTAAAGAAGCGGATTGTTTTCATATAATTAGCAGCAAATAATGCAAAAAATTTGAAATTAAAAATAAATCATAGATTGAGCTTCTATACTCACTAATAACAAAAAGATGCTGGAGACTGGAGTTGGAATATTGAATATGGGTTTCTTTTGACTCCTCTAAAACAATTTAGCAGTGTACCAAAGCCAAACTTTGATGCTAAATATGTCCAGTGATCGACAAATGACAAACATCTCAATGTAACAAATGTCGGTAATATATTATTCCAAATTAAAATCTATTCAAATTCTACCTATAAATATGAAATTGTTGTTAATGAGAATTTATTATATATGTATCACCACAAGCTAATATTATATCAAATATGGAGTAGAATACAACAAGCTAGTTTAAACTTAAAATCTCTATCTTGGCGTTTGTGTTTTGAAACAAAAACTTGTGCCCTTGAACATGCTTCTTGAAATAACAAAATTAAACTTTAAATTTTAAGATCCAAAGAACTTGGGATGTGATTGGAGGGTGAGGGTAAAAAGGCGACGGGCAAGACAAAAACCTAAACAATTTATCTTTCCAAACCTTTGGTCTAGAACTACAATCAAGGCCTATTAGCATAACAAGAGTCACCTTTTCATGTGACTTGGTAGTCCCTCAAATGTGGAGAGCATTTGTCTCTCCTAGAGGGGAAAGACTAAACTGAACATGCTATAAAGCCCCAAAAATTTCATTTAGAGAGCAATCTTTGGGTATTAATCTTACAAAACAATGATTTTCTTTGCCATTAATAACCTTTAAATGAGGACTAAGCAGAGCATGCCGATCGAAAAAACTGAAAGAATCCACAAACAATATTCCATATACAACTCCTTACACCCAGCACATACTAGCAAGTACCCTTTCAACATGAAGAAACAAGTCCCATATGCATGTGTTAATTTTTTAACAGAGGCGTAGCCACATAAGGGGCTGGTAGGGGGCCGGTCCCCCGTGGCCCAATCTCGCGGCCCATATTTTTGTAATATGACCCCTGTAAAGTTTAATGATATATACCGATGAACTCTCTTGTATAGTATTATTATTCTCTTGGTTCAATGGTAAGTGGGTGTAAATTTTACCCAAGGGGTAGAGGGTTTGAGGATGCATATGGGCTAAAAGGTGATCTTTTTTATTTAATTGAAAACATTAAAAATAAATAAACAAAATAAATCTAAAAACTCTAAACTTTCACCTTCCAGAGACTTTGTCAATGTTAATTCATCTTATCTTTTTAAATTTTTTACCCCACAAATTTGCTTAAACCTTTTTTCAATTCTCTTCTACTCTTTTCACTTTCTTGAATCATCATCTACATGATATCAAAATTCAATTTTCTAAATTCAAAACCAATTCTCAATAGGATAAAAATCTCAACCCTCGATATTCACCTTGATTGCATTGGTATGTTTTCTTTTATTCAAACTTTAATTTAACTAGTTTCATTCATAATTAAGTGTTTTAGAATGATGTATGTGAGTTTTTTTTAATAAATTTTCCCTTGTTTGATTCATGACTTTTCCTTTTCAATGATTTCTTTCTTTCTTTTTTTTTTTTTCTTTTTTTTTTATTATGCATTTATGCTTAAATGCTTACATAACAAATTTTCTATTTTCGAGTAATTCTAGATATAATATATAGTTGGACAGTAAGTAAGGTTTAACAATGAGATTTGATGACAATTACCTTGTATGTGTATGTGAGTAAACTATAAGCTAGTAGGCCTCAGTAGATTTAAAATCCTGTCTACACTTCTGATTTTAAATATTTTTTTGAAAAAATTTGGCATGCGTATACATTTAAAAAAAAAAATGTTCTAAAAATTAGATGAAAAACATAATTTAGAGATTGTTGGTAGTTCAAATTTTGGACACCAACTTTTCACCCCCCTCTCGCTTCTACACTTATATAAGATAGATGAACCGAAGAAATACCACCGCTATTATTTAGTAATTTCCATTATAGAACTAAATCCTCCACCACCACCGGTAATTTACACTACTAAACTAAATCCTCCACCCTCAATGAAGATGAAATTAGCCTAAGATCTATAGTTCCTAAAATTAAAATAGAACTATTCAACAACATATAGGAGAAGGAAGAGAAGTTTCACTTTATAGGGGAAATCGTGACAAGTTCCTAGGGTTTCACTTTTGGAGGGGGGGGGGGGAGGGAATTTATAGGAGAAAGAAAGGAAGTCGTAGAGAAGAGTGGCTACCATATAAATTTTATTACAACTCCTTTTTAGGTGAAAATGTAAAGGCATTGGCACACTTTAAACTTGGATGTAATGCCTCAAAATTATGGTTACTATTTACGAGTGGAAAATAATACTTCCGTAATTTCAATTACTGATTTTGTAGTTATTAAGTTAGTGCGGTAATGAACTAGTGGGGAGTTAATGAGTTATATACCTCAAGCTAGTAGTAGTTGCTTATTTATAGGAAAATTATCTTCATTAAGTTGGTTTACTATCTCTATTTAAGGCTAGCAGTAATTGCTTTATGAAATGAATTGAATGCAGAATGCTCTTCTTTCTCCTCTCTCATCTTTATTATAATTTCAAGTATTAGAGTTGAGTTAGAGAGAGAGAGAGAGTAAAAGAAGAAAGCCATCCTACATTTTATGTGTGAAATAATTGGAGAGCAAACCACCATGTCAAAAATGGAAAACAGATATGTGATGATTATGTGTACCATGAAGAGAAATGCTAGATAAGTCAAAATAATAATTAAAAAAAAGTGCGATTGTGTAAGTTGAAGTGCTCCGAAAATATGGTATTGATGATGATAATATGGCATTGTGCATATAAAAAAAGTTCTAAAATTTAACCAGAAATATGACAATAAAAGGGAAGAAATGAGATTATGGTTATAGCAAAAACAAATTCCATAGAACTAGTTGGGATTTATATACCCCAAATTACTATTCCTACTTTATTTGCCTTATCTTCATCATTCAATTTGTTTGTGCATTAGATGGATGCCAAGACAACTTTCTTGAATGGTGATTTATAAGAGGAAATTTATTGGAATGGAGAATAAGGTTTGTAGACTCAAGAAGTCCTTGTATGGACTAAAGTAAACACCAAAGCAGTGGTATGAAAAAATTCATAGTACCATTCTAAGTTTCAGTTTTGTTGTCAATGCTACTGATGCATGTGCTTACTCTAAAATGTTTGATTATCATCGTGTGATCATATGCCTTTATGTGGACGACTTGTTGTTTAGTGCTAATTTGAGTGTTATAACTAAAACTAAGAAATTACTTTCCTCTAAGTTTGAGAAGAAAGATTTAGGAGAAGTAGATGTGATCCTTAGGGTTAAGGTCTAAAAGACAAAGAAATGCTATTTTCTGAATTAGTCTCGTTATGTAGAGAAAGTGTTGAAAAAGTTTGATTGCTTCGATGTTGTGCCTTTGAAAAGTACATAGAAAGTAGAATAGCTCTCAAGAAGAATCTCAGGAAGAGTATACCAAGGTAATAGGGAGCTTGAAGTTCTTAATTGAGCAGGTTTAGTAGGTTCACTCATAACCCAAGTGACATTGGGAGCTTTAAGACGTGCACTTAGATATCTTCAAGGAATCATGAGTTGGGGTTTAGATTTTGTTGGTCGTCCTTTAGTTCTAGAAGGGTATTGTGATGCTAATTGGGTAAGTTCCAGTGATGAAGTGAACTCTACCAGTGGGTATGTTTTTACTCTTTGTGGTAGTAATACATCATGGAAGTCTGCAAATGTATTGTCGGGTGGACAATGAAAGCAGAGTTCATAGCTTTGGATCTTGCTACCAAAAAGCCAGTTTGACTAGTTGCCATTGTGGGGGAAACTAACACCACCGGTCTCTATGCATTGTGATTCACAAGATAAGAATAGTGTCTACAATGGAAAGAAGCGGCACATACATGTTAGGCAGAAGTCAATGAGACGGTTTATTGTGAAGAAAAACCTAACTTATCCTTTTATGAAGGGTCTATGCAAGAGAATGGTAATTGAATCATCAATAGGAAGGAATGGGATTGAAACCTTTTGTTGAACGGATGTGACTTTGTAAGGTATTGATTAAACATTTGCTATGTTATGATATGAATAAATCCTAACCTAGTTATTGTCTATGGATTTAGGCCCTGTTATGTTCACCTTATTTGAATTATTTAACTTATTTCAGGAAAAATAAGTTCAAATAAATTCAGTTGGTTAATAAGTTAAGATAAGTTTAAGAAAAATAAGTTCAGTTAGTGATAAGGGTTAATAAGGGCTACCCAAGTTCAATATATAACTAAAATAAGTTCACATAAGTTATAGATAAGATAGATAAGTAACAAAAAGGGTGTTGATTTTACCTAAATAACACACTCAAGAAGTAATTGATTTAACTTCTATTATGAATGTACTTCTATTATGAATGGAGAGAAACCTCTTTCATTGTACAATTGATGGTCGAGGTCAAACGTAAATGTGAGGAAATTTGAAGCAAGGGAGTTTGTTGGATACTTGGATGTATAGCTTCAAATATAATGGTTGTTAGTGAACGATAATACTTCTTTATTTTACGATACCAATTTGCATTAACTAAATAGAACTATACATCCCACGTTAGTTGTGATAGTTGCTTACAATTATTTGTATTTTATTTTTCAATAAGTTAATTTACTATCGCTATTTAAGGCTAATTGTAGTCACTTATGAATTGGATTGAAAGCATGCATGTTCCTCTTTCTCCTCTCCCCAAAATTTCAACATTTGATTGATAAGGCACATATATTGTCAGAAGCTAGTACACCTTATATTAAGCACTCTAGATGACTCTTCAATTACAATAAACAAATGATAACATAAAAACAACATACTTAACAAAGAGTAAAAGCAGTGACATGAATATAATATTACCCGTAGATTAGTGCACGGATATAGTCTTGTGTCAATTTTTGATGGTAACCAAAGGTGCTCTCAACATTGTACTCATATGCAAGAGTTTTATTACATCTGATCCAAGAGCTAATAGTACCCTATTCATGAAAGAAAAGTACATGACGATAAGCAAAACAATCAGCCGAAGAAATCAGCTACAAAGATACAATGAGATTCGATATAATGGCTTGACTTTTACCCAAATATTCAGCAAAAGTACAACTCAAATGAAGTTTTTGCCACATGAGCAATGGTTGTCCACATTGGTGCAAATTTTTATGGCGCCTACTTGAGATTTCTAATTTGGTATCAGTTATTCATCTTTTTTTATTTCTCCAAAAAAATTTCTAGGCCTTAGCAAAGAATGAGAAGTAAGGGCTAATTAATACAAGTATATTCCTATAAAAATTCCTTCCATTCTTTAATTCTAATACTTTAACATTTGGATACGAATCGAACATGATTTTCATCCTACAGTAACAAAATACTCCATTTGTCCCATAATATAGTTCTTGTTTGTGTTTTTTCATGGTATTTAAAAAAAGGAGGAGAAAGTGGACAAAGTACATTAATAAAAGTGAAAAGTACAATCATAGACAAAAGTTAGAGAGAGAAAATGAAAAAGTACAAGACATGTGTAAAATTCAAGGGTAAATTAGGAACAATGAATAAAGTTAAAAAAAGTAAGGGTATAATGGTCATTACATGCTGTCCTAAAGATAGGGTCATTTGTGAACAACTACCCATTTTTTTTTATTTGTTTAGAACTATCCGTAAGTTTGGAAAAGTTTGGGTAACACTACCTACTAACGTTTTTCGTCTCATTAAAACGTTATTTTGGCCCAATTTTTTACTTTTTTCAATTACAATGGTCAATTAATGCTAAAATAAGCAAAAACCCCAATTCAATTAAACCCCCGAACCTAAGAAATTAAAATCCCCAAATAATACTACACTCATGAACCCTAAAATAAATTATGATTAAAACCTTAATTAGGTTAATTAAGGTAATTAAAACCTTTATACAAATTGGGAGAGTTAATTGGGTGGCAAAAGTGAGCTCCGATAACGTCTTAATTGGACTAAAAATGTTAATCGGTAGTGCTATTCAAATGTTTTCAAACTTGTGGGGAGTTCTAAACAAATAAAAAAAAAATGGGTAGTTGTTCACAAATGACCCTATCTTTAGGGTAGTTCTACACAAAATTTCCTAATATTTTCGTTCTTCAAAATAGGAAAACAAGAATTATATTATGGGACGGAGGGAGTACATGTGATAGTTTCCACTTCGAAAAAGATCGAGTTCATATACCTCTTGAATGTGAAGAGCTGCTCGAACTTGTATGTCATTAGCCCAATTTTCCAAGAGATAGTACATACTCTCCTACATAATTGACAGATGCTCTTGGTAAATTTTTAACACAAATCAACTCATGACTAGTTATTAGCAAACATGCTGATTGGGCTTGTAGCCAAAAGAGTATACGAGGTCAGCTTGGTGTTTTGACATTAAACAGGTCATAGGATCTTCGTTATGTTGCGATATTACCATCTACTGAGTATTAAACAAAAAACTTAATGTAGATTTTTTTACTAGATTTTGCAGAGCATTGACCATTACACAACTGATAATAGCCTTCCTTTTGAAACAATAATAAAAATTTAAAATTGAAAGAGAAAGAAACAGAAACAGCACATGTAGAGCACCTAACGAAACAAACAATGCAAATATCCATGCATTTAGAACTATACAAACAATGAAACCTGCACAGACTGCCAGACACGAGTATCAAATTCAAACAACTTGAAGACCCAAAATCCAATTTTAATTAAATACGATTAAATCAGCGTTAGTTCAAAGAAATCAATCCTAATAATATATAGAAAGAAAAGAAAAATGAAAAAATAAATCAGTGTTCATGTGACTTTATATCTTAGCACTGTCCCAATAATCAGTGGCGGATCCAGGGGGTACATAGAGTAACAGCTGTACCCCCATTCTGCAAAAAAAAAAAAACCAACTGATAATAAAAGAGACCGCTTGTAAAAATAGGCGGTCTCTTACACCTTTTGAAAAGGGGGTCTCTTAGGTGGGTTTTATTATTTTTGACGCCAAAATACTACTTTTGATCATATAGACCTAATGGTACAAATAACAGGTCTCTTAGGTGATACTGTTTATTTTTTCCGCCATAAATTAGTAATTTTGGTCAAAGTGACCTATTGTTACAAATAACAGTTCTCTTAGATAATCTCTTTTTTTTACTAAATTTTTTTTTTAAGGAAATACTCCAAACACATTTAGTTACTCAATTATAAGCCTTGTTGTATAGTGTACGCAAATACTATTACAGTAAGCAAAATTATTACGCTCCACATTTTGTAAAAAAAATTTTAACTTAATTCCGTACCCCCATTCTCTAAATCCTGAATCCGCCACTGCTTATAATGCCTTGCATCTTAGTTCAATGATTTACTGGAGAGTTCAAGTCTACATAGCGATATGTCACCACTCATATCCCCACGCCCACAAAGGCAACAGCATCGTCAAATGGGCACTAGGCAACAGATCGGGCCAAGGGAGATGCCCATGGGTGCTAGGAAGCACCTTCCCCTTAAAGAGTTTTTTTGGCACCCAGACTGTTTACCTAGTGAACACCCAATTGACAGTAACACAATAATGGGTCATTTGGGGGCCCAAATGAAGCCCAAATGGGCCCAAACTTGGAAGTCCACCGTTTTTTGACCCAAGGAACACTATGTGCGGTCAGATTTTTGAGGCGAGGTCCAAAACATTCCAAAATACGCTAGGAGTCTCGGGATTCGTCCAGGAGCTTCTCGAACTTTCTAGGATATTCTTATAGATTATTGTAGTCCTAGAGTATTGTAGAACACTCCGGAATAATGTACATATGAGTTATAACCAGAAGTTATATAGAAAACTCTAGAAAGTTAAGCTTCTAGGACCTTCCATTTAAGAAGGTTAAAAGGATCTCTAGGCCATTGGGAGCACTATAAATAGGGGCATGCCCCTTCTTTTTTGCATCATCGAAGCATTTGTAAACACTCACAATATCAAGCCATCAAAGTTCTCTTAACTTACTCTCTTGTGCTTTCTCTTACTTACTCACTTAGGCCTTCGTTGCCTTCGTTGCCTTGACTAACAGCCTTAGGGGGGGGGGGGGGAGTTAGTGGGCGTACGTACACAAGACTAGGGGAGTTAGTCCGCAAGTGACAGAAAGCTGCCCTGAAATCCTTCGAACAACACATTGCATCATAACTAGCTACTCTTTAACATATATATTCACATCAGTTCCTCTTATACATGCACCGAAAATAGCCCTCTCTACAAATACACACTGATTTTTGCTATTTGATATGACTTTAAATGTCTTGCATCAAAATTTAAAGTTAGTTATCACGGTGAATGAATGGTGTATGAGCTTTGACATTGATCAAACGTTGAAATTATCACATGGTATCCTAAATATCAAACATAAAACATTGGATTAATAAGATACAATAATTTAAGGCATTAGGATCACTCAGCAAATCCAAACATAAAAAAATTGATCACCATAGGCTACTATAAAAATTGTTAAGGACCAAACATGATAATCATGTATAAGCGATACATACCTGGCACCATGTTTGATGTGATACACATTTAGGTCTTAAGACATGAGGGGTAAACAAGGGGTCAAAATTCTGCATAAATCAAAATTAATTCATAGTAAATTATACTTCCACTATTTATTTACTTGCAACACATCCTTAAATCACTTACTGTGAGGTCGAGATTATATAGTATGAACGAACAAATCAATTAAAATAATTTTTACACATGGTATCTTACCCATCCCTATTCCTGGTGTTAGAATTATTTTGATAAAATCATTCATTTAACATCCGTAATCACCTTCCAATAGTACATGTCTAAAAGTTTGTGTTGCAAGTAAAAAAAAATAGATGAGAAAGTACAATCAAAGGAAAGCTCTCGATAGATAACACTCTATTTTCATAAGAACGATTACTTAGCCCATAACAATGCCATCTAAAACGCAGCATGTATGATTTTGGGAAATAAAATAATTCAGCATGAAACTCCTGCGACAAGATATAACGAATGTTCTGGTACGATAAATGTTTTAAAAATTCTTTAGACTTGGATCGAGTAAATTTAAGCACATGGTATAGTATTACATTACGTAATTTATGTCTTGACTAGTTACTTTTGTTCATGAATGAGTATGTTATTCTTCACAAATTCAAAACATATACTATTGAAACTTACATTTTTTATTGCTCGAAGATTACGTGCACACTTGACATTTGTTATATCCACATCCACATTTTCATAACTGCCATTACAATTTAGTTTGGCTGACTGTGAAAAGAGAAGAAAAAAATACGTTGAGACTCATAGTAGTAATAAGCAAGTTAAAATAACAACAAAAAAAGTAAGTCTCCTTTCACTCGGGATTAATAATTACATAGTATCAACAACATAAATTTAAAAGATATACAAAATGTTTTGACTAAAGTAACTAGATCAATTCAAGATGAAGTTCTATCGTGTATGTTGTTTGCGGATGATATCGTTTTTGTGGATGAAACTAAAGATGGGGTTAATACCAAGTTGGATTAATGGAGACAAAGGTTGGAATGTAGAAGGTTTAAGTTAAGTCGAAGTAGGATTGAATATTTGGCATGCCGCTTTGGTACTCCGAGGAGGACAAGCAATGATGTGGTGAGTTTGGATGGAAAGGACTTGACCATGAGTGAATGTATTAAAAATCTTGGGTCAATCATCAAGAAATAGGAAGCATTCCCTTAAAATTGAAGGGAAAATTCTACAAGACTATAAGACCAGTGTTGCTCTATAGTACAGAATGTTGGGCTTCTAAGAAGAAGCACATTAAAAAGATGGAGGTTAAAGAAATGCACAAGTTAAGGTAGATGTGTGAGAACACTCTAAGAGATAAAATCAGAAATAGGTTATCCTCAAGAAAGTAGGTGTGACGAGACAAACTAAGGCATTAATATTGTGATAATGAGTAATGTGATAAATGGGTAATGTGAAAAAAAAATGATAATTAGTAGTGTGATAAATGGGTACACGTTATTTTTTTTTTTTTTTTTTTTTGGTGTTTAATGGGTACACGTTATTGTGATTAATATACTGTTTCAAAAAAAAATATCAATTGTTGTATGGCCTTTCACTATTGTACATTAAGTTGACTATAGTTTGAACTTTGTAAGTTTTATTAATTGGACTTTTAAAACTGTAACAATTCCACAAGTACTATCCTAATTATAGTAAAAAACAAGGGGGTAATATCGTGCAAATTTTAAATTTTGAATTATGTTTGTAAACTGAATGAAAACCAAGTCTAAACCCTTTTACTCCCTTTATGAAAAAATGTATAGCCCAATTTACTTGCATATGTTAAAGTAAAATTTTGACCAATGATATCCTTAATTATCAATAAATATAAATTATAACAAATGACGTTCTAAAACAGTACATCAAGATGACTCTAACTAGTACCCCAATGACTATATCTATTCGTATAGCTAAAACACTAATATTGGTAAGTGTATAAATCAAATTGGAGCATTTATTTTAAAATGGAGTATCATAAAGTCAATCTAATATGTAAGGTTTTCTTAAATAAATTAGTCAATCCGTTTTTTTTTAAGTGTTACACTTTGATTGTCAAGATAGTATTTTAAATTAAGGATAGCTAGATTGCTCGTCGTATAGTTTTATGCAAATTAATTAACTAAAATATAAAGAGGTTAGTTGGTGTATTATAAAAGAAGATAGTATAACTAATATTTTATTAAAAAGTAAGAGATATGAGATGGAAAAAAATGATAAACTAGTAATAACAGCTTTAAGTGGTGACCATGAGAAAAAAGAGATGCTCTATTTTGTAATAATCGCAATAGCAAGGTGGCAGCAATCGCAGGATGGCACAAAGTTTTAGTAAAATTATTGGGTAGGGTCCAAAAAAGGGAATTCTATAATATAAAATATAGTTAGTGGGGATATAATTAATTGTAAATACGACAGTGAAATAATGATGATAACAAAATAACAATAATAATAACAACAATGACAATAATAATAACAATAATAACAACAACAACAACAACAATAATAATAATGAAAATTTGACTTTTACCACCTCCAAAAAAAACGACTTATTTGCTTTTACTACCTACATAATTTCAAGTTTTAATTTACCATCACATAAAAAAAAAAAAAAAAAAATAAAAATAAAAAAAAATTAGTTTTTCCCACCAAAACCTAGCTCCAGTGACAAAAATAGGATTTGGGGCCCACAAAAACGACTAGTTCCCCCCCCCAATTTCTCTCGATTTCCTTTTTTATTTAAACCCATCTTATTCATTTCTCCAAAAAGATCGTTAAATTGAGCTTAAACTTTGAAAATTTCTTCCCAAATCCTCAAATTTGTTCTACTCTAACAATCTTAGCATCCAATTGTCCCAAATTTATGGTCGTTTAACAAAGTTAGGGAAATTAAAAGAAGATACTTATTTCACTTAATTCGCAAATACCATGAATTATTAGGTATAATTTCGCAATTCCTGTCGTGATTATGTTCCAATAGTTATGTATCATTGGAATTGTTGATATGACTTATAAATTGAGCCCCAATTTCAGATTTTAAAAATTGGGGTTCATGTTAGTGAAAAATTAGTTGGGATTTTTGGATTCAATTAGAACTAATATTGATGCTGCTGGTTGTGAATTGGAGAAGGAAATGTCTTCCATAAGTGTAAATGCTACCTCTTCTTCAACTACCCAGATGCGAAAGAAAGTAAAGGATGAAAGTGAGAATTTCAGCAATTTTAATGGGAGGAGAGATTTGAAAGAAAAATGAGAGGAGAGACATGAAAATTTCAGCAATTTTAATGGATGAAGGTAAGAAATTGAAAGCACTTGAATAGGGAAAGTGAGAAAAGGAAGAGAGAGAGAGAGAAATTGGGTTTTTTTTTATTATTTACGTATTCAGTTTAAAGTGTTCCCTTTTATTAGTTACATTTATGATCTTCCTATTTTTTGTTGTACTTATTTTTAACCTTTTGTCCATACTTTACAATTTATGTTACACAAATACCCCACTTTCCACCTAAAAATTTATACTACCTCCGTTAATTGTTATCTGCAACTTTGGAATATTTTATATCTCTCAAATAATACCCTAAAGTTGCAGATAACAATTAACGGAGGTAGTACAAATGTTTTAAAAATTATGTTTTTGGTACTTTTTTATTTCTAACATCCTAATCACATGGGCAGTGCACAATCACATGAATACAGAAAAGATGTACTATCTCCTTCATGTTTCGTCTTTATTCATATTTCATATGCTCTACCAATCATTATCTACTTTATTTTCTTCTTCATAAAAGAAGTAACGTGAAAAAAAAAAAAAAAAAAAAACAGTTTTTTACCATATACCCTTGAGTTTTAACTTTATTTACCCATATACCATCGAAAATTTTTAAATTTACAATATAACACTCGGTTTCACAAAAATATCACAACATACCCTTAATGACTAATGTCGTTAACTCTATTAATCATTAAGGTTAATTGTGCCACAGCCCACATGGCCATTTTTTATTGGTTATTATTAATAATATTTAAATAATTTTTTTTAAAAAACCCACCACCCTTCCCGCTCCCCTACACTTCCCTTCCTTCCCCTTTGCTGCCGCTTCCTCACACAACCTCTCTCACAAATCGCCTCACTAACCCAAAACACCACCCACCACCTAACCGCAGCCACCTCCACCACAATTACCCAAACACACCACAAAAACTAGTTTGCCCACAACACATCACCTAGCCCGCAAAAACCCTATCAGTGCCCCCGAACGACACTCCATTAGCACCGCCACACACAACTTCAATGCTCGCCGCTAGCATCTTCTCACCACCATCACTGCCAAGTTCCATCATTTTCGGCGTCTCATGGATCAAGGAAAAGGGAGGGTTGGGATCGTCGGCGATCAGTTAGGAAGGGGATTTGGGATGGATGCCGGCATGATCGCGCAAGGGGAAGGCTAGGTACCTCGGCTGTGGGTGGAGGAGTGGTGGGTTTTTCTTTTTTCTTTTTAAGTTTTCTTTGGTGGGCAATGTTGAAGAAAGGTATTTCACGAAGGTACGTGGACCTGGTTAAGAATATATATCAGGATGTGTCAACATTTGTGAGAACATGTGGAGGGATTGACGAAGATTTCCCTATTATAATTGGATTGCATATGCACTAAGCCATTTCTTTTTGGTAACGCTTCTAGATGAAGTAACTAGACCAATTCAAGATGAAGTCCCGTGGTGTATGTTGTTTGCGGAAGATATCGTTTTGGTTGATGAAACTACATATTGGGTTAATGCCAAGTTGGAGTAATGGAGGCAAAGATTGGAATCTAGAGGGTTTAAGCTAAGTCGGAATAAGACTGAATATTTAGTATGTCGTTTTGGTACTCAATGGGGGACAAGCAATGAGGTTGTGAGTTTGGATGGAAAGGACTTGACCATGAACGAATACTTTAAAGGGGCGTTTGGGTTTGTGTAATATAGGTATGAGGTATGGGTTTAAAATGACTAAAACCCATACCATATGTTTGGTTATCAAAAGTATGAATTTTAAACCCATACCTCAAACCCATGAGATATGGGATTTAGAAACCTAGGAGGGAAGGTGGGTTTGGCCCATTCTATTGCCTTAGGTATCAAATAAAATGAGGGAAAGAGATTTCATTTCAGAATTGAATCAAACACGTGAAATTGAGTATCAAGTTCCTACCTGATACCACCTTAACCTCATTCCTGATTCCAAACTCATATCACTCTGCGAACTAAACGCCCCCTAATTATTTAGGGTCAATCATCCGGAAGAATGGTGACATTGATCGAGACGTGACCCACAAGTTTAAGTTGAGGTGGCTTAAGTGGAGAGCGGCCATGAGAGTGTTATGTGACTGAAGTATTCCCTTACTGGTGAAAGGAAAATTCTACGGGACTGCCATAAGACCAGTATTGCTCTATGTTACAGAATGTTGGTCTTTTAAGAAGGAGCACATTAAAAAGATGGAGGTTACGGAAATGCAAATGTTAAGGTGGATGTGCTTAACTCTCTCATAATTAAAAAAAAAATGAGAAACTAAGGGTAAATCACCTTCATTGGTTTAGGCATGTAAAACAGAGACTTGGGTGCACGGGTACGAAGAGTGGAAAAGTGGGACCATGGAGGGACCAAAAATGAACTGGTTGGAATGAGTTAGGAAAGATATAAAGCGTATGGATTTGCATGATGATAAAGTATTGGATTGTAAGAGATAGAGGAGGAGGATCTTTGTCCATGATTGCACGGAATAATTAAATTTGGTTCATGTAGCCGACTCCTCTTGTCTTTGATTGATTGATTGATTAGATGTCACCACATTAGGGGTGCTAAACCTTCGAGCCGAACCCGAACAATGGCAGGCTTGGCTCGAGCTCGCTTGTCATAAAGGGGGCTCTGCTCGAAGCTCGACGAGCTATGGAAACTTGCTCGACTCGTTAAGGTTATGAGCCGAACTCGAAACTCGAACTGGAGTCAGAGCCTCATCAAACCAAGCTTTGGCCGAACCGAGCTCGAACAGTTCACGAATAGCTCAGTCTCATTATCACCCCTACACCACATGGCATAATTAACGCTTTTGGCTAACGATGTTAACCGCCTTTAGTCTTTAAGGACATTTAGTGATACTTTTGTGTAGCTCGAGGGTATATAGTGAATTTGAAATTTTTCAATGGTACATGGTGAATAAAGTTAAAATCAGGGATATATTGTAAAAAATCGAAAAGATATTATCGCAAAAATATATTGTAACACTTAAAAAAAGCAGGGAGTAAAAAATTTAATTATTTTCAAACAATAATTGTTCATCGAGATGAATCTAAAAGATACAACATGACTAGATTTTTCCTTATGTATAAATCATAAAAACACGATCAAAGGAAATTTTGTGAATAAAGTCAAAATGAAAACCTTACTTCTTCTGTTCTAATAATATTGCAACAACTGAATTTTTACACTATTCATCATGTTTGTTTGACCACATATTATAATTTATACGTTAAGTGTAATAAAGTCATGTGGGATATTATTAAATTCGTTTTGTAAAACACTTTCACAATGTAAACTTTTTGTAATTTTTACACTTATTTAGTTATAGATATTCAACATACAATATATATTTTGGAATGCGTAATTTCATCATTGTTGCAATATTAATATGTATAAATCATAAAAACACGATCAAAGAAAATTTTATGAATAAAGTCAAAATGAGAAAGAATATAGGTTTGTACTTTCCAATAACTACATGAATTAAAGTTAGGCCTATACCTCATAGAGCTCATCGGGTAAGAGTGAGACACGATGAGCATAATCATATTTTGATTGGCTCATATCCTTATCACTTGTAAGTGGATTTCCAAGAGTATATCCCTTATAAATAACAAAATAACTTATCATATATTTATATAAAATATACACCAAAGGGAAACACATGTATGAGTGCTAATCATATTAAACCAGCAACCCAAACTCACATCAATAAAAGAAAAGTCAAAACTCAAGGTCATACAAATCAAAATTGAATCTAACTATGAGCATGAGTTCAACAAGGTCATGAATAACACCATATTTTTTTTTGTTATATAAACATTACTCCGCACCTTTTTTCGGAGAAACTTGACAATTAATAAAAGTAAATTATTCACAATTAAAAAAAGTTATTAAATTCTAGAAAGACAAAAAATTTAATGACCATAACAACTCAATTCGAAACATTAATAGGCATGAGCAAGACATGATCAAGCTTAGTGAGAACGCGTTTTTAAGTCGAGTTCATCACCAAGCAAACATTTTTTCAAGTTCAGTTTAGCACGGATTAACACTTTTTAAGTCCAGCCAAGCACCCAATTCCCTACATGTAAAAAAGTCTAAATGGTTTATTATTAAATGCTTGTTACAACAAAAAGAATATTGATGAAGTGGAGTTTCATGGGGATTGATGACTTTGAATTTTTGGTTTTACAAAAAAAACATTAGCCCTCCCATTTTAAAATACTTACTCCACATTCCATTTCTGGTCGTTTGTAAATACTTGCTCTATTTCCTTATTTCAAAAGTTTTAACAATAATTAATTTATTTATCTTCTCAATTTGTGGACCCAAGATAAATCATATTTTATTAATTTCATCTCTCTCCTCCAATTCTCTCACTACTTTTGCTTTTTACAATTTTTTATTCTTCCACCAACCCCACTACTTCCAAATTTTATTACTTTCTCCAATTTTTCCTAAAACTCTGCGTATGGAGAAATGGGGCAAGTATTTAAGAACACAGAGAGTATAAAATAAAAAAAGTGGGAATTCATGGGAAATTGAACTTAAAAAAAAAAACATAAGAACAAGGAAATCCATGCTTATAACATTGATAAACTTGAAATGTTTATTAAGGATAATAAATGTACTATTAAGTGGATGGGTAGAGGTATGTCGGTAAATGCGAGTGCTGGGTGAGGTGTTAACTCATGAATTAACGACATGGATTTTAGAAAACAACCATTCGTTTCTCTGTCCTCCATTGTTGAAGCTTCCTACATGAATTCTCTCTCCTCTATTGTTTAAGGTCTTCCTATACAACAATTATCTACCCCTATAAGGGTAACAATTCCCTTAATCTTCATATTTTTCATAGGGTTTTTCTATAGATTCATCGGTGAAGCCGAAGCCGCCAAAATTTTATCACGAATTTCATGGGTTGCTTGCTCAAAGTCTCATAGGCTAAGGTTGAGAAAACATAGTATCACAGAAGATGAAGCTTACATCTCGAACTTTTGTTGTCTTCTTACGTGGCCATAATTATTCTTCTTTCATGTCCTATCTTTCCTTCAAACCTTCCCTTCGTTTTACTTTTTTCCTTGCTCCCTTACGGCGTGAGTTAACCAAGAATATGCCAGTTTTTATTTCTTCATTATTTTTTAAATTTTAATTCTTTTTTATTGAGTTGGCACAAAAACCTAGGGATCACAAATTTGCTACTGAAAACGTTATCTTTGTATCCTCCATAGGAACTAAATGACCAAGACCCTATTAAATAGGTACAAATAAGTACAAATAACTTGAGATATGTGAGCTTCCTACATAAAATGTTCCCTATATTGATTTTAGCTGACATGTTTTGGTTTTTGACATTATTTACGTACTTTATATGTAGTATAGGACATCACAAATTGTTTTCCATCTACTAAAGTTAGGGACACGCAAATTTGCATATCACATGTTAGCAAACAATTTGGGACGAGAGCACGTGGTAAAAGAATTGGACAAATTGTAACTCCTTTTCTTCGAAATTTAGTAAGGTTTTCTTTAATTATAAATTACGAGTGGAATTTTGGAAATCGAGGCTTGTTTGTACCATGGTAATCCCTCCGTTTCAAAAGTGATTTTTGGAATAATGTACATTAAGACAAATGGTAACTCCCTATCTTTGGAATTCAGTAAGAGCTTTAATTATGCTCAATGAGTGGAATTTAATAGGTCAATTTGTTAACAGCTACTCGTTAAAATATTTTATCAAAAAAACTACCCTTCAAATTTATAAACTTTCGGTAGCACTAGCCTTTTCCATTTTTCGGCAACTAATTTCGATGAGTGGGGTCCATTTATTATTCTCCCTCCAATAAAACATCGTCACTCTCGTGTATATTAACCAACCATCCTCTTCTTTGAAAAAACTCAATCCAAAAAACCAAATCTTTGTGAAAATTGCCAATTAAAGAAGGAAAAACAATTTGGTTTTCACAAAGTTTTTGGTTTTTTGGGTGAGATTTTGCAAGAGAATAAGAGGGTTAATTAATATATACGAGGGCAAGGATGTATTTTTGGCAAGGATGTATTTTTGACAAGGATGTATTATTAGAGGGAAAATAACAAATAGGCCCTATTCGCCGGAATTAATTGCTGGAAAACGAAAAAAGGTGGTGCTACTCAAACTTTTTAAATTTAGGAGGTAGTTTTTTATATAAAAATTTTTAGCGAGTAATTGTTAACAAATTGACTTGTTAAGCAAGTAGTTTGTGACAATTATTCCTTTTGGAAATTGACGCTAGTTTGTAACATTTTACTCCCTCCGTTTTATGTGTTCTATCCATTTGGAATCTTTTTATATAATTAAGAAAAAAAAAAGTGATTTTTGGAATAAAGTACATTAAGGCCATTAATATACATCAAGACTCTTCTTTTTTGGAATATTAGAATCCTCCTTTATTTTATTGAGACCTTTAAAATGAGGGCAATATGGGAAAATAAAGAGGACATTTGAGGGATTAAAATATAAAGTAGGTTGATCATTTTAAAACCCTCACAATAGAAAGTAGGTATACCATTTTAAAACAAAGAAAGCACATTGTTAGAGCATCTCCAATGCTAAGCTAATTGTTCAATTAACTTGTGATGCCACATATGATTTCAAGTTAACTTTCTTTGTAGTTATTTTGAGCCCCAATGGTTAGTTACTAGCTTATTAATTAATAAGTTTGACTTTTTCAATTAGCTTTAATTTGGAAACTTTTTTCTCAAGCAAATTGTATTTTTAAGCTCCAATAGTTGAAAATTGCAAGGAAATCCCTAACTACAACCAGTAGAGGTTTTTTAAAAGATAAGATTAAGGACTCTACTGAACTATCACCTCTCACAGGTTTAGCCATAGCCAGCAGCTTGCGATGATCATCGCTTGAGAGTAAAGAGGGAAGGTAAGAGAATCTCCCTACTCCCAAGCATTTTATAGTTAGTAGGGCTCGAACTCGTGACCTCAAATTCACAAGGTGAGTTCCCCACCAACTTAACCATTTCTTACATTTTCCCTAGCTCAAAATAGTAATTTCTCTTATAATTAATAATATGAACATTATGTATATATGAGAGATGTTAAGATAAAAATTCATTTATAGAAATTTTTAACAATTATTTATATTTAATTTATGTATCCAGCCTCATTTAGAAAGATAAGAATTTAAAAGTTTTTATTTAGTCTTATACCTTAGGTTTAATGTACATCTAAAGTATACTAACACTTTCATATATTAAACTTAAACAGAATAGTAAAACACACCTGAAGATTCATAATAGGCTGGAATCCAACTTTATTCCCTACATATCATAAATTTCACATTAAGTTAGTGAAAAAACTAAAACTATGAAGATAAGAACATTAATTGTTGAGGTACAAGGGCCCACAAATGCCAAAAGGGAGGGCAAATGAGAAACACATTTTAACAAGGTGGATAAAAAGTCATTAATTTCTTATACCTTACTTTAGAAATTAATTGTAAATGATTAAGAGAATAGATGGATACAAGGTACTCCCTACATTTCATAATGATCTTACTTTGACTGTACATGTTTGCTAACGTGATACTTTGACCATGAATATCTTTAATTACATATCAAAACAAAACCTAACACGAATATGTTATGTTTTATACTTCCTCTATTCCCTTAATATTGCAAAAGGGTGGGGGACATAGATTTTAAGAAGATGAAAAAGATAGAGGGAAAAAAAACATGGGCCCATGTGATGAGGAGAGAGAAGGTTAGATAACATGTGTAAAGAGGGAAATGTTGCAATAGGGAAATAAAAAGAGGAAAGGTGGTCAGAGAGACTAGTCACGTTTTCCTTAAAAAAAAAAAAAAGACTGGTCACGTGATTGACTCTCGGAAGGAGAGCAGGCTTTTGTTATTTTATTAATGAAAAAAAAACTGAAAATATAATAAATAAAATATAAATCTTTATGTTATTAAGAAAAGTAGAAAATGAATGAATGGAAAAGAGCAGAAGACGAAGAGAGAGAATAGAAGGGGGAAAAATAACACAATTTCCTTCACCTGTGTCGGCAAAAATAAATATATATAGTGAGGATTCTAGAAGATAAAAACAAGAAAAAGAACAAGGCAATTTAAAAGAGAAAACAAAGGTGTAAATTCAAACTAAAGATCAGCACCACAAAAGACAAAGTAAACCTATGTCTGCAGCTCTACAAGTTTGAGAGGAAACTGATAAAGTACATGAATCAATCTTGGACTTCAACTACCAACTTAAGTTTTTGGTTGAGTTGAAATGATATTACAGCAAAAGACCGATTTTTTTAAAGGAAAAATTGGCTAGAACAGCAATAGCACGAAAATTAAGTGGAGCAATAAATAGCACAAACTTTGGAGGTTGGGTGCGGAAAATGACATAAACTATTTTCGGTTCCAAAGATTCTATCGGATTCCAGTTTTTTTTTTTTAATCAAATTATCCCCGTCTCACGTGACTACTATAATATTTGTAATAGGGATTTGTGCAATCAATTTTTTCCTTACTATTATATAATATGTTACATTATGTAACTTATGCAATTTATTATGCATATGAGTATATCATTTATAAACATTATAACATGCATATGAGTATATCATTTATAAACATTATAACATGTTATGTAAAAATAATGTGATAATAAATAGTAACATTAATTATAGAGAGTAGCCACAGTGATAGGCCTTAAAGCACACAAATGTCACTTGTTTTTTGCTAATAAAATTTCACATGTTTTCTGCATACATGCATGTAGCCCCAAAAATTCCTAATTAAATTCTTGCTATATCAATAATAATTCAGCAAATCTCAATTTTACCCCTAAATCAATCAATATTAATTACACAAAAACCCAAAATTTACCCTTAAAAATTATTAAAAAAAATTAATTAAAAAAATTCCAATTTAAAATTAGCCAAAATTAATCACACCAAATGCAAAATTTACCCATAACTCAATCAAAATTAATCTTACAAAACCCTAATATGTCTTTTTCCGTGTTTGTATCCTATATAATTAATATTCTAAATCAAACAATGGTCGAGAGTTATGTCTCGCATAGAAGTCACGTAAGAGGGTGTAGGGTGTTAAATTTATAATTTTATTACTATAAATAGTTTGTCATTTACTGCACCATTTATGCTATTTATTGCTCGACTTAAAATTTGTGCTATTGAGCGCACCCAAGAAATAGATTGTGCTATTTTAGCCAAATTTGCCTTTTTTAAAGGGAAATTACAATGGTTGTGGTTAGGGGTTAGCGTAGCAAGGAATCCCTACAACTAGTTTTAAAAAAATAGGAACCGAAACCGGAACTTGTTCTACAGGTTCCTAAAAATTGGAAACCGGCAGGTTCCGGTTCTAAAATAGGGTATCCTATCTTTTAAAGTAGGCTTAATAATCACTTGATAAATTGTTACCAAAAAAAAAATTAAAAATGGATGTTCACAATAAAAGCTTACAACTTAAATACAGCACAACAAATATAGCAAACCAACACTGAATGTCCAAAATATTTCATACAAAATTAATACTTATATTAATACCGTTAATCAAACCTTTAAGAGTAATATGAAAAATGAATGAGTAGGGAGAGAGGTAGGTGATGGCTTTTATACAATTTTGATATAGGGCTTTTATATATTTAGGCTTAAATGATAGGTTCCGGTTTCGATTTTGATATAGGGCTTTTATATATTTAGGCTTAAATGATAGGTTCCGGTTTCGTGTACCCTACAAGGAACCTGTACTAACAAGATACCCTAAAGGTTCCGGGTCTACGGGTTCCGGTTCCGAGCAGGTTCCGATTCCACATCAGAGTACCCTAAATTTTTGCTCACCCTTAGTTGTTGTGATACACACTACCACCGCCGCCGCCGAAGATAGAACCCAATTCTCCGTAAAGATTAGGCGGCTAATATTCAACAGCGTGCCCGACGAAAGTTCGATTTCTTGGACGACACCATCACCTCCTTTTACGAAGTCCGATTGGACGACGATAAAGCAATGCTCATATCGTGGATTTCGAGAACTATAGATCCTGAATTAAGGTCTTCTCTATCAAAATTAAGAGAAGCTAATCCTTTTTGGGATCATCTAAAGCCGTGATTAGCTTAAACCAACGGACCTCAAATTCACCGATTAAGATTTTTTTTCTATGTACTACATTGGACAATCGCAAGCCTTTGATATCTTTTTCTCTGTGTACAACATTGTGCTTCTTGTTTGGCTTGGAAATTACATGAAGAATGGCGAGCACAAGCAAAACTACATGATTTTTTTTATGGGACTAAATCCCGATTTTCATGCTTCCCTTATCAATATTCTATCACAATATCCCCTTCCAAGCCTTGATAAAACATACCAATTGGTAGCACAAGAACAACGTGTAAATGCTATGATATGGAGGGAAAGGTTATCTATTAATAGAGGTAGAGAGCCATATAAGTTTCCATAAGGCTACAAAAAGACATGAAGCTTCTTTGTGGATGATAGCAACACAAGAAGAGATGTAAGCTTTCCTTAAAAATAGAAGTAATTAGATAGCAACGACCAAGTGGAGAGATATTTTGCTAGGTTAATGGTGAAAGGATTTACTCCATAAGAAGGCATTGACTTAAACGAGAAATTTTCTTATAAGACTTACAATAGTTTAAGTTGTATTCTCAGATCTCAATTTGTGCTACATTTTATTTGTACTCGATTAATTAGATGATACGAAAACTGCATCTTTTCATGAAAACCTTTAAAAAGAAATCTATATGGTCCAATGCTTTTCAGTTTGAAATCAGCAAATCCTTCACACTTTGAAAAGGTAAAAAGATTTCATTTCCTATATTCGAAATTAAAAGAAAAAAGGAAGATAAAAAACTAGAAGTTGGTTAGCAATTTACAAAAATCTCTGTACAATGTCAGGAACCTAGATGTTAATAGAAGGGATTTGATTTCTTTATCAAGAGCCTTATATAAAATAGACCTAGTATGTTGAATTTTCATTACTCTACTATAAGATGCTGACGGCAAATTGATACTCTTGATAGCAGGGCCCAACAATGATCATATTATCAAACTAAAGGCTCAATTTGGGCTACATGAAGGATTTTGGGCCAAAAACAAGATTTTAGGGATGCAAATTCACTGAGACACTAATAAGAGGAAGATTTGGCTTTCTCTTAAAAACTACTTTAATAAAATCTTGTGTGCGGAGAGGATGGAAATGTCTTAAGCATTGTATGTATCAAGATTTGGTAGCTTAAAGTATAAGTCGATACATGTTGAAACTTGGTAAAAACATTGGAGAGTTGTATTGATCCTAAAATGCTGCATTATGCTATGGAGGATCAAAGTTTAGAGTTAACGGATATGTTGATTCACAAAATTAAATGTATCGCATGCTATGTGTTTACTCTTGCTAGAAAAGTCAAAACTACAATCCATTGTGGCTACTTTAACAACGACGCTGAATACATTGCAACTAAACAAGCTAGCAAAGAAACCATGTTATTGATGGAGCTTGAACACAAACAAGAGAATACTGATTTGTTTTATGATAGTCAGAGTGGTTTGCACTAAGCAAAAGAATCCAGCATTTCACTTGAAGACAAAACACATATTAGTTCAATATATATCACTTTGCTCATGAACTGATGGAAGAAAGATGTGTTAATAATAAACATACACACGAAAGATAACCTAGCAGATGCTTTGACCAAACCGATCTATCCTCATATGCTATGGATCCTCTACTGATTTAGTAAGTATGTATGCAACATGGGAATAAGAAAATATGACTTAATATGGGAGAATATTATAGTAAAGTCATATAATTTCTCTACCTTAAAATTAGTAAAATAAAATGAATTTTTAGAAATACAAAAGAAAGAGAGACAAACAAGGAAAGCAATTAGCAAATGAATGCAAATTAAATGAAGAATATGAACACAATGAATGCCATTAATTGTTATGTAAATAGAGTAATATGTATTGTAATCAGTTTTTTTAAAAAAAACGTTAATTCAATGAATAATTATCTCATAATCATTTAAGAATAATATTATCTTAGCTTAGAATTTATTTTCTTCATTTTTTATTTCAACTTTTGTTGTTAAGAACCTATTTTCCTACATTAATATGCAGTGAAGTTGTGACCTCAATAATAAGGCAGATTTTACAGAAAAGAAACAGCATATGAAAATCATGCCATGATTGATGTAAATTACCATTAGAAATCTCTTGGACAACGATAGGAACAATCTTGCCACTATAGGAATCCCCAGAAATGAAAAGAGGATTATTTTGGAATCCATCATGGTCCTTAAGCCACTGTAGCAAGAAAAAAGAAATGGGAAAGAGATAAAATGGGCTTTGTATAGCTAATTCTATCAACAAAACTAAGAGAAACAAATAACATACGAATTAAAATTTTGAAGCAACAATGATCCATGTTTAAAAGATGGGGAAATGAAAATGATTTATTCATGAACGAGAATGTACCCATGCAATACCACAGGATACAAAGATTAGATTTTTTTGTTCAGCAGAAGCAGAGTGCACAACTGTACTGTATCGACAACTCTTCCTCTTATAGATAAGTCAACTTAATTCGATAGGTAACACTTGAGAGTAGGGGGGAAAGCTAATGGAATCCCCATTCCCGAGTACAAACAGATAATGAATTGACTCTACAAGATGAGTTGCCCGTTATCTCCAGACTTTAAATAGTTGTTAGGAAGTTAGTGGCATGGGTAGGATTTCTGTGAAAAAGAAAAAAAAAATTAAAAATAAAGTTTGTAGATTTTGAGGATTTGGGTTTAAAAGGAGTTGTATTAAAATAAAAAATACAAGTCTATCAGGTAGTTTTATTTAGGAAAAATTGACAAAAATAATCCCAACTATGCTCGATTCGCCCAAAATAATCCCAACTTTAGATTATTTTTAAATAATCCGAACTTTAATGTGAATTTTCTTCTAATGGTCCCAGGTGACCTATAACCGGTTGAATGGGTAAATTTTTTTTAACAAAAAATTAACTTACACATGTCACCACGTGATTGGTCAATAATACTAATTAACTATTATTAGTTACTAAACATCACTTAACTAAGTAAATTTAACAAATTATTTAAAAATAATGAAAAAAAACCACCACCACCAGCAAACCGAGCCCTCCGCCCCCACCCCCACCCCCACCCCCGTCTAGCCCAGACCCACCGATTACCCTCGTCGGAGCTTCCCCTCCCTTACCGCCTGCTTCGCCACTTAACCACCGCAACCCCACCACGAAATCCCCTTTTCCTCCCACGAAATCATCATCAACGAACTCGAAATTATACTCAAAATCATCACCATAACCATCAACATTAAGAAGCCCATTAACCATTAACAATCTTCCTCCTCTAAATCAGAACCAAACCCTTGAAAAGTATCTTCTAAAACTTCACCAAAATCAATGGCTATTTGAGTTTTAAGCAGGGGTGTTTGCTATGGTGGTTTAGGGGTAACAGTAGGGGAAGCGCCGGATAAATGTGCCAGGTCCAGGTCATCTCAGTTCAGCTCCTAATTTCCTTCTCTTATAAAATATTCATTTCAGTTCAGTTCAGATCAACTCAGCTCAGGTCCAGGTGAGTCCAGTCAATGAGAACAGGCCCTAACTATTTCCAGCATTTTACTTGCGGAAAATTTTCTGTTTGTCTGTATAATTAATCTTTCTCTTGTTAAAAAAAAGGAAGTGAATTTTTATGTCTGAATTTCTGAAGTTGGCATTAGTGTGAGGCTGTTGGAATTTTAGAGCAAATGGAACATAAAAAAATAGTTGTCAGATAGATGTTATATACAAATAGGTTTATAAACTTAGTGATTATTCATACCGAACTTAATTCCATAAACAGCAAAACAAAAGAGTTTTCTGAAAAGAAAACAAAAAAGGCAAGCTCCTTACCTTTCTCAAGAACTGATAAATGTGCCTTGATGATGTAATATCATCGCTGTAATAACCTTCTGGATTTGTTGCATGAGAAAATCCCGTGCCAACAGGTGAATCCAAAAATATTATATTAGCTATCTGCAGATCAAACACAATGTATTAGTCACAATTCATATATTTGACAAATGGAGCTACAGATATTTGATTTCATTATCAAAATTAACATAGATAAATTTGTGAGTGCTATTTTATTCATTATGAAAATTAACAAGAAATAAACAGATAAATTGTTGTACCTTTGTCCAAGAGGACGGATTCAACTGAAAAATTGGTGCTTTTGAGTGCCAATTGCAAGCCGAAGTATTAAAACTCAAAGGACCTGCAGAGAGATTTCAACATTCACTACAAATTAAATCAAATCAAACTCCACTGCCAGTTCGGCAGTCCCCCCTCCCCGCCGGCGTTAAGCACACCTTTTCCGCCGGCGCCGGACATCCTTGAATCGGCCCTTCTCCCCTTCCCCCACCCCAAAACGAGCCCCTCCCTTCTCCCATCTCGAGCCGCGCCCCCACAAACCCAAATCCCCACGAGAAAGTAATTCCGTTAGGGTTTGGGTGGTTTCGGACATTCGGTGAGGGTTTTCAGGTTTCGGGTGGGGAAGGGAAGGGAAAGGGGTCGTTTCAGGGAAAGGGGAGGGATGGAGTATGGTCGCCGGCGGGGCTGCCGGCAGGGTAAAGCAGGGCTGATCATGGCAGAGAGAGGGTGTGGTTTTTTTAAAAAAAATAATTACAGAGTAATAATTTAATAGGCAGTGGGATAGGGGAATTAATAAAAAAAACTTGAAATGGAACAAGTATTTTAAAGGGTAAAAAAAAAAAAAGTGGAGCAAGTATTTAAAAACGTAGGGAGTAACTCACACGGAATATACAACTATAATTTTAGTCAGATCACAAGACAACAACACTTGGCGGTTTCAACTTTTCGCCAACTGTCAACCGCCAAGTGTCGCGTCATATAGGCGACAATTAATTAAAAATATGACAGGTATGATTTATTTGAATATTTTTTAACAAGATAAAAAAAATTTAAAAAAAAAATTGGATAGATTTATTACCTAGGATAAGAAAGTAATTTAAAGTTTTATTTTCAATAAAATTTAAATAGATTTAATAAGATTAAAAAAAGTTATTTTAGAGTTTTATTTCCAAAAAAAACTTTTGGTGTAGAATTTTTATGAGCTCTTTCCCAAAATAATGTTGGGGAAAACTCCAATTCCCTAAATACAGTCCCTTTATATTATATTCCCACCGTACCGTCCACGTCACCGGTTCAGAGAAATTAATTTTTTTACAGGTTTATTAGAAAACCGCTACTTCAAGTAGCGGTTTCTAATTTAAAACCGCTACTTGAAGTAGCAGTTATTTTATCAATAAACCGCTACTTGAAGTAGCGGTTTTGTATAAAGTAAGTTTTGTTAAACAAAATTACTTTTTACTTCCTCTAGTAAACAAGTCACGAAAAATTAAAAAAAAAAAAGTTTGAACAACCATCTGCGAAGTTGCGAGGGACCCCCAGCCGCTCACCGCTGTCTCCGTACCCACCACCACAAATCGCCGACGCCGAGTTTCAGAGAATTGTCTTCAAGTGTACGACGCTCAATTGTTTTTGAATTTTGGTATGTATTTAAGCAGTTGAATTACTTTGAATGCCCTAATTTTATTTTAATTCAATTATCAAATTTATTTGTTGTTTTATTGTTAATCTATGCTATATTCATACTGTTTGACAATTTGTGATTACTTTGGGTAGTTTTAGTGTTGAAGTTAGAAATTATTGAACTTTTTTGCTGCTATTGTTTTCTTTTTCAATTGAAGTATTGTTGATGTTAGAAAAACGCAATGGGTATTCTGAATAATGGGGAATAATAGTTTGAATTAGTCTTGGGTTGGGTGTTCTTATTTGTAGATTAGTGTTGTTAATTTAAAATTAATCATTGTTAGAGTATGTATACTAGCAACCTCTATCAATTACAACATGGGACCATATGCATACTACTTAAATACATACTTTTGTACCTATATAATATCATATTCTTTTAATTTGTTGGGACCATTGACTTTTAATTGTATCATATTCTATTCTTGATTTGAGTCACTTTATGGAAAAAGAAAACAAATCTGTAACTTGTAGTTGTTGATTTGGACTATGTGTTTTTCCTTGGTGAACTAGTTATTTGGTTTTGTTGTAGCTGCTATAGCAGCACTATCAAACTTGTGGTGGATGATTTAGTATTAATATAAGTCTCCTTTTCTCTAAAAAAAAAATAGTTGTTGATTTGAGCAGAGTTAGTTTTGTGGCTTGTTAATTCTAAAGTGTATGCTAAGCTTATAGTCTGGATGGAGTTTATGTCAGAACAAAATAGACATGGAGCAAAGAAGGTTAAAGGCTTAAAGCAATGTTTTATGAACTAATTCATGAAAGGGATACATAATGCTCTAGTAGATATAATTCCTTAAAGTGTTTATTATTTCTATTTAGAATAATTGTACTAATTATGTTGTTATCAAATATTACATTGCAAAACTAATGCCTTTGAATAATTCCGTTGTTATCTAGAACAAAATATGGAGGTACCAAAAAACTATCCTCTTTATTGCTATTAGGGTGGGGAAATTATTCAGAAAGAAGGTGATGTAGCTTATAGGGGAGGAAATCAAAATTTTATTTTTGTTAATCCGGAGATGACATATTCACAAGTTTTGACCAAGGTATATGAGGAGTTGAGTATTGATCCTAGATTTGTGGAGTTGAAGGTGGTTATGAGGTATCCTATGAGTGGGGCATATGTCGCAATTCCTTTGAATGACGATAATGCTATTAAAGCTATGTGGATTGCTATGACTCAGACATCTTCTGTTGCAATGCAATTGTACATTGAACAAGTTCCAAAGCAATCAGTTGTGCAAACTGATATTGGTTCCTTTCTTGAAATGGATTCCTCTTGTAGCATGGAGCAACTTATTCCCCTTACTTATCAAAGTGGGGGGATGGGGTCATTCACAAGAATGCTTGTTGACGATCAATATGTCACTGAACATCTTTCGGAGATTAGGTCTCCAACATCATCACCAACCGTTGGAGCCTCAACAAGCACACAACAACAATGCATTCTTGATTCTCTTGACCCAAACAATGTTGATGTTTTTGGGGACGTTGAGATGAATGATAGTGACGAAGATGATGATGAAGATATAATAGAATCTCGTGATAAAGCGATCAAAGAAAGTGCTCCCATGCAAGATTTCAATGAAGTGTCACAAGTTGATACACTTTTGAATAACTCTTTGATGATTTGGGTGAGAAATGAGACATACAATACCGAGGGAGAATTTGAGGTTGAACAACAGTTTGACTCATTGCAACAATTGAAGGATGATGTGAAGTCGTACTCAATAGCTAGAAATCAAACAATTCGAGTTGTTGAGTCAGAGCCAGAGAAATATGTTGTTGAGTGTAAGATGAAAGCACAATGTAGTTGCTCGTGGAGGCTTCGAGGAGTAAAAGATCCAACACTTCCCACTTTCAAAATTGTTCGATACAACAACCCTCATGCAAGTAATTGTGTTGGTGACATTTACTCGGTGGATCATAAACTACTCACTTTTGACTTTGTTTGCAATTCTCTTTTAGATGTCATTCGTGTTGACCCTTCATTGAAAATCAAGACAATAGTGCAACTTTTGAAAGAGAAGTTTTAGTTTTCGATAACATACAAGATAGCATGGCTTGCAAAGGAAAAGGCAATAAAAGTCATTTATGGGGATTGGGAGAGTTCATATCAAGAGTTGCCTAAGTTCATGCAAGCATTGAGGGAATCAAAGCCTGGGACCGTGGTAGAGTGGAAGCTAATACCGACTACAAATCAATCGATGTATTTTTTCCAACGAGTTTTTTGGGCGCTCAGGCCATCGATTGAAGGATTTCGTCATTGTAGGCCCCTCATCAACATCGATGGGACTCGTTTATATGGAAAATTTAAAGGATCTCTACTAATTTCTATGGGAACTAATGCCAATTTTCAACTATTCCCCGTTGCATTTTTCTGTTGTCGAAGGAGAAAACAATGATAGTTGGTCTTGGTTCATGGCTTGTATTAGAGCTAGGGTACTGATAGGGAAGGGCTTTGTGTCATATCTGATTGGCATGCTGGGATCTTAGCAGCAATGGAAGAGGTTGGTAGCGGTTAGGAGCAGCCTTATGCGTACCACAAATATTGCACCCGACACTTAGCTTCCAATGTGAACAACAAATTTAAAAGTGTTGTTGTGAAGAACCTTTTTGGGAAAGCGGCCGATGCAAGACAGAAACATAAGTTTGATTACTTTATGGGTAGAATCGGTGCTTGAATGTTGAGGCTTGTCGTTACTTGATGGAGATTCCATACCATAAGTGGTCCATCCACCATGATGGTAGTTTTAGATTTGGCGTGAAAACTACTAACATGTCAGAAGTTTTAACGGGGTCTTAAAAGGGGCTCGATGTCTACCGATAACCGCCTTAGTACAAATGACCTTCCATCGAGTTAACTCCTACTTCGCAACTAGACGTAGTAGGGGTAAAAAGAGGCTTGATGAAGGCCATGAGTTTTCTTAGAAGGCAACAAAGACAATAGAGGCCAACATGGAGAAAGTTATGCATCATCGGGTTGAAGGTTATGATTTTGACGTAGGGTTGTATCAAGTTACTACTGGTCGTGGGAGTAGAAAGGCGGGTAAAGGAGGGAAAACTCATATTGTGAATTTGTTTCGGAAAACTTGTACTTGTGAAAAGTTGAAAATATACAAGTTGCCATGCTCTCATGTACTAGCAGCTTGTCGACAACGAAGCCTTTCACATTTTGAGTTTGTTAACTCTTCTTTCAAGACGACCAAATAAAGACTTTCATACTTGAAATGTTTCTTTCCTGTTCCTGATCCTTGTCATTGGACCCCATATAATGGACCAATAGTTTTAGCTAATCCGGATCTAAAAAGAGGCCTAGGTCGACGTTCAACTAGAATTCGTAATGAAATGGATGAGCGTCCCTATATTGTCAAGAAGGCATGTAGTATTTGTCGAAGACAAGGACATAACAAAAAGACATGTCCCACAATTACTAGTAGTGTTGGATCATCTGGGTAATGTTGCCTAGTTATTGTTGAATTGTGTTATACATGCTTATTACTTTTATGATTTTATTATTTATTCATGTCATATTATTTTTTTTTTCCTCACACATGCTAACATAATTAAATGTTGTATTTATTTGCAGTTCTCATGGAGCTGGTGATTCGACAAGGACCAATTGATCCATCAGTGTTAAGGTTGCAAACTTCCCATAGGAGTCACGATGTTTGGAGTAGCATAGAAGATAAAGTTTTGTCGGTTAGAGAGCATGTATTCGGCTTAGCACGTGATTGGAAGGTAGATGGTGAGGTATTAGATTATGTGAAGCGTGTTGGATTCTATGGTGTGCACAGGCTAGCTGGTGGTGGGATTTTATTGGACCGTTCTCTAATTACGGCGTTGGTTGAGAGATGTAGACATGAGACACATACTTTTCATCTTGTGGTAGGAGAGGCCACTATTACTTTACAGGATGTTGCAGTTTTGCTAGGCTTGAGAGTCCATGGTCCACCGGTCACTGGTCCACCTCCACGTGAGAGTTGGCATGATATCTTTGAGGAGTTACTTGGAGTTCGACCCGGTCTTGATGAGAAGGGGAAGCCTTATTTAGAAGGATCTACTTTGAAGTTAATGTGACTGAGACGACATTTCTCGGTGGTACCACAAGGAGCGGATGACATGGTGATTCAGCAATATAGTCGAGCTTACATTTTAGCTCTCATGGGTTCCATCCTCTTCTCCGATAAGAGTGGCGACGCTGTGTCACTCTACTATCTCCCATTACTCAGAGATTGGGAGACAACTTCGACCTACAGTTGGGGGAGTGCAACTCTTGCTTTTTTGTATCGTCAGTTGTGTCGAGCATGTCATAGAGGAGCATGTCAGATTGGAGGTGCACTCATCCTCGTGCAGTTGTGGTCATGGGAGCACATTTGCATTGGTCGACCCTACGTACGGGGGGCTCGTGACCCACCTCATGAGGACCTTCAGGAGGAGGGAGACATTTTAGGGACACAACATGTGCGAGGTGTTGACTCCCTTGCGTGCAGGTAGTGTATTGTTTGACTTTTTCTTAAAAGATGGAATTTAATAAATAAGTAATTTAATTATGTAATTTAAAGTTGGCTTCATGTACACCTTTCGTGTGCACATACATCATCTAGAATTTCATATTATCGAGATGCTTTTGACCATCAGCGTGAGGACCAGGTACAATAAGTTGTTCAATATCTCCTTATTTGTTAAAATTCACGTATTATAGATATGCCAATTTATTACTAATAACAATCATGTGTTGTGAAACAGATGGTTTGGCAGCCATGCACCGAGGCTGTGATGGAGCGACTACCAGATATTTGTCGCTCTGACACTCATATTTGGCGTACACGATCCCCATTAATTTGCTTTGATGTCGTTGAGTTACATGTACCAGACAGAGTCATGTGTCAGTTCAAGTTAGAGAAATTTATCCCATAGGGAGTTGACACAGGTGATACTCTACACAAGAAGGATCGGAGGGGACAGAGTAACTGGGAGTCTCGACATTCCACACATGTGCAGGAATGGAGCCGACGAGAGGCATTGGTTGTTCAGGGTAATCCGTTTACCTAATCTTCGTCACCAGTTATGACAGAGTACCTAGCTTGGTATCGTCGTATCACCAGGCTTATTATTACTCCGCCTTCACAGTCTCGTCCACCGAATCATTACCAGCCATCCACCTCCGACCTCTTACTCGTATGAACTTCATTTCATTTTTATTCCAATGTAATTGTTTAGTTGTTTAATTCATTGTACTGACATTGGATGTTTAATGTAGGCTCATGCTGTTGCTGAAATGCACGCGAGGCTATGTAGAGCTACAAAGACCATTTCTGATTTGCCAGCAGACAAGGCTTTACCTTTTGCCATAGAGACCATACAAAGTCTTACTACATTTTATGGCCAGAGCTTATCTAGGGTTGGACATTCACGCCTTATTGAGCAACCTCAAGTGTCATCTTCTTCTATGCACACTCAACCGATCAGACCACCACCTCATCAAGTGGTCAAACTTCACGTGCCTTTCGTGCACCCCTCCTATTGTGCGGCCTCCCTTACGTACTCCAGTTCCTACTGTGAGACCTACACTTCGTACTCCTTCTCCTCTTATGCGTCCTCCCTCACGTACTCCTCCTCCTTCTATTCATCCCCCTTCCCCTCCGCCACCCCTTATAACACCTACATCAACCACTTCATTCTACACCACAACATACTATTGTCACATCTCCTCCACTAGTGCATCGCCATTATGACAGAGTTCGACGCCGAGGTAATACTTACTCTCGGGGTGGAGTTTCTCTACATGACATTCCAGAGGACGGGTCTACTTTGCCATCTTCATCATCACCTCTTGGGAAGAAGCAACGTACAAGTTAGGTGTAAATATTGAGATTGTTTTGCTAACATTATTATACATATTTTGCAAATGTTGATTGATTGGAATTTGGTTAATGGACTTTGCTTGTAAAGTTACTTGAATTATGATTGGATTTTAGATCAAACAATGCTTGTTGATAATTTATTATAGTGTATTATGCAATTACAGACTTCATTTTTAAAATGTATTCAGTAGAAACCGCCACTTGAAGTGGCGGTTTTTAATAAAGAAAACCGCCACTTGAAGTAGCGGTTTTACTTCCAAAACCGCTACTTCAAGTAGCGGTTTACTTTATTAAAAACCGCTAGTTCAAGTGGCGGTTTACTTAATTAAAAACCGCTACTTCAAGTGGCGGTTTTCTTTATTAAAAACCGCTACTTCAAGTAGCGGTTTGTCACTGAACCGGTAAAAAAAAAAATCGGTCTGCTTGAACTTGCTTGCGTGGACGGTAATGTGGGAATAACAAAAAAAGGGACTGTATTTAGGGAATTGGAGTTTTCCCAACATTATTGTGGGAAAGAGCTCAATTTTTATACAAATTAAAAGGTAAACAAAGTCAAAGAGATCTATTAGTACATATAACCGTTCTCTTAAGTATTAACATTCCACTAAATCTTCAATATTTGCTTTCTTTAAATTACTAAGTGCTTATAATTTTATTAAAAAAGTAATACTCCGTCCGTGTTTTTTTAAGTGTGACACTTACCAAATCTGGTCGTGTTTTAAAAAGTATTACACTTTCTTTTTTTTGGCAAAAAGCTACATTAAAATATTATATCTCTCTCCTCTCATGGTCCCCACCCAAACCCACTACTACTTTTTATATTATTTCTCTCCCCTCATATTCATTACTTTTCAATAAACTATTAACCCCACCATCTTTCTTTTACAATTTTTTAATGTTCCAACTTCCCCACTTATCTCTTATTCTATTTAAGTCAATTAAATTGTCTAAAACTATGTATCGGTCAAATTGTAACACTACAAAAAACACGGAGGGAATAATCTTAATCGGTCAATGTTATTGGTTTACTTGGTTAGCATTATAGGGGTTATTTCGTCAGTGTTATAGGGGTTACTCGGTCAATGTTACAAGGATTATTTAGTGTTATAGGGATTACTTGGTCGGTTATTTCGTCAATGTTATAGGGATTACTCGATTAGTGTTATAAGGATCAATGACACACATAAGACAAGTGGTTCCATAATTGTCTTATAAATTTATAATTCTATTATCATAATATTCGTTACTTCAAAATAAATCCATTTATTTTGAAGATTGAATTTGAAAAATTAAATTAAGATCCGCCAAAATTTGAAGACTAAATTCATATTGATCTCTCTTCTAGCTAAAATTAAAGACATTTAAATCACAACTTATTTTAGAAATTTCATCCAACAATATGAAAATAGGTACAAGTCCAAATTGATTTCTTCTAATTGCTCTTACCATGATACTTGTGCCACTTTCAACAACTACCAACCTAAACTCTTTCTTAAAACCACCCACATATCTTTATGAGTGGTATTACTATTTTTTTATTTACAAGTATGTCTGTCAAGTAATTTTTTATCTATGAGTAGAAAATTCAAACAAACTACTTCACACATATTTTAGATAGAAGGGTTTATCTTAAAATTCAACAAACAACCCGGGCATCGCACGGGCGCAAAACTAATTGTAACATAAGAAAGGGAAATTTTAAGTTCATCTCTAAGATAAACCATTATTTTAACTTTTTAAATAGTAAAAGTGAGTTAATAAAGTGGTACATAAATAAATGTACGATCTATAAAATAATGAGAGGAGATAATCTGAACTCATAATCTCAGGGAAATTTTGCAAATTGCACTCATTTAAAAAAAATTACAAATTGCAGCCCAAAAATTATTAAAAATTGTAAATTACAACTCAACTCAATTTTTTCATCAATTTGCGTGTCGAAAAATGTTTGATTAAGGTTTTAGCAGCCATTTTAGACCTTAAGAGCTCAAATTGAGCTTGAAATTGGCAAAAAATTAACATAATTGCCTTTTTTTACAAGGATAAAATAGTTGCCCACAAATCGATACATTTTTGTTACGCAAAATGAGACACTTACGTTATTATTTTGCCAATTCTGAGCTCATTTCAGTCCCTTAAAACCTAAAATGACCCCTAGAACTTTGAACGACATTTTTGACACGCAAATCGATGAAAAATTTGAATTAGACTGCAATTTACAGTAAATAACAACTTTTGGGCTGCAATTTGCAATTTACAATGATCTATCCATGTTGCGATTTACAATTTAAAAAACGAAAGAAAAAATAATTAAAAAAAAAAAAACAAAAACCAACCCAGCTACCTCTTCCTCTCTTCACCCACTATGAAACCCTACGCCAACCCCCAAAACCACCAGCTACCGGCCGCCACCTCCCTAATCCCCCGAAAATGGCCGGTCGACCCTCCCAACCCCCAAAAAGCACACATCCAATCCACCTCAACCCCCAAAAAACACACAGTCGATCCACCTCGATCAACACCGACCCCTAAACCACTCTCCTCCCATCGCTCCCCCTTCGCCGAAAAAAAAATCGATCAATGCCGCTCCTCATCCCTTCCTACACCCTTGAAATCGCCCTGGAGGCTGAATTGGATTAGGGAAGAGAGGAGGGTCGTTTTCGATGGTGGGAAGATAGTCTTCGACGATCAAATTCGGTGATTTGGGAGTGGGAGTTTTCAACGGTTGAATTCGATGGTTTTAGGGGGGGGAATGGGCTGGCTAAAGTGGTTTTTGTGGTTAGGAAGGGTCGGCCGACCACTTCTAGGGTTAAGGGAGACGACCATCCATTCCCCGACGAGCTAGGGGTTGGCCCTAGTGTTTGCGGTGGCGTAAGAGGAGGGGGTGGTGGCTGTGATTTATTCTTTTTTTCTTTACTTTTTTAATTTAGATCATTCATGTGCTAAAATGTGTATCGGTTACCTGTTATAGCAAGTCATTGACTTGGTGTTGACCGAAAGGGACTATTAGAGGCAAACTCAGGGCATAGTTAAATAATTATAAAAATAAACCTTAGTTGAGATTATTAGAAGTAAATCGGCAATAGTTGGGATTAAGAAGTGTTTTTTTTTTTTCAAAAAATTATGGTAACAATGATATTAAAAAAAAAAGACTTTGTAGAAAAATGATGTTATTATTCTTCCATTGATCAAGAATTTTGATTTTCGAAAAGT